AAAAAAAAAAGAAAAAAAACAAAAAAAAAAAAAAAAAAAAAAAAATGCATTTAGTATTCCTAACCTACCCAACATCATAGCTGAGCCTGGCCTGCCTTAAACATGTTCAGAACACAGAACTATAGTTGGGCAAAATCATCCAACACAAAACCTATTTTACAATAAAGCATTGAATATCTCATGTAACTTATTGAATGCTGTACTGAAAGTGAAAAACAGAATGGTTGTATGGGTACTCATGGTATGGTTTCTACTGAATGGCAGCTATCTTTTGCACCACCGTAAAGTCAAAAAATCCTAAGCTGAACCATCATAAGTTGGGGATCATCTGTATTTGTCTCCTGTGGAGACCCATCGCTTATAGCTCCCTCTTGATATGTCCTTCCCTGGACCTTGTTCCTCAGCGCCTACTTCCAAGACTGCCCCACGCCATTCATTCTCTTGCCTGCAGATTTTTTCAGGTGAATTACAGTGGTTTAAACCATGCTCTTGCCCTGGCTCCAGGACAATGACGGGCTTCTGGCTGCAGAGAGAGCTCTGGGCAAAGGCAGCACATTTACTGAGTCATTAAAAGGTTGCCTGCAGTCTGTAAGGTATTATAAGGGACATAAAAATGTTAAAAGGGGGCCGGCCCGGTGGCGCACTGGATAGTGCGCCGCTTAGGAGGCGCGGCAGCGCTGCCGCCCGAGGGTTCGGATCCCACATACAGACCGGCTCCCGCTCACTGGCTGAGCGAGGCGTGGGAGCAACACCGAGGTTTGCAATCCCGTTGCCGGTCCCTGGTCCGGTACGGGGGCAACACTGAGGGTTGCGATCCGTTGCCGGACATGGAAAAAGACAAAAAAAAAAAAAAAAATGTTAAAAGGACAGCAAAAAACCCAAATCCAGTAAGGTGCTGAACTGGATGTGGTCAAGTTCTAGGGACTTGGAAGAGCCAGTCAGGCAATGAGGTAGAAGAGAAAACCACACAGCTACAAACTTCTTCAGGGCCTTGAGGGAGGACCTGCATGAGATTTAGTTTTACTCCACAAATATTTGTTCAGATTGCCTGACCAATAAATAGCCCAAGGTTGTGGTCATTATGAACCTTGTGTGCAAAAAATAAAAAGAACCTTCAAACTCCCTTAAGCAACATAAAGTAACATACCATGAGTTTGTAACTAGATTTTGTGAGGGCTGGCCCGTGGCTCACTCAGGAGAGTGTGGTGCTGATAACACCAAGGCCGCGGGTTCGGATCCTATATAGGGATGGCCGGTTCGCTCACTGGCTGAGCATGGTGCTGACAACACCAAGCCAAGGGTTAAGATCCCCTTACCAGTCATCTTTAAAAACAAAAAACCAAAAACTATAGATTTTGTGTGTGTGTGTGTGTGTGTGTGTGCGTGTGTGTGTGTGTGTGTGTGTGTGTGTGTGTAACTGAAAACTGGGAAAGGTCTGTGCCATAAAATGTTGAAAGGAGGGAAAAATCCCTTTAAACCAAGACGCTGTTGAGGGAAGACTTGTTAGAGGAAGATAAGGATAAGCTGTCCCAGGCACTGCTCCCTGCAGTTTAGCCACTTCTCTCATTTACGCCTCATGCAAACTCTGCGGGGCACTTAGGACTTGCTCAGAAGGGCTGAGAAACTTGCCCAAGGGCATACTACTTGGTTTCAAGCCCTGAACCAAACCACTGCGACAGCTCTGTATCCTGGAAGGGCTTGCAGGGGGCTGGGTCCAGGTCACAGACTGGGGACAGGCCTTCCAGGCCAAGGAAGCACAAGGAGGAAAGGAGCAGAGCGGAAGGGCTGGAGCATGCGGGCAGGAGGGCAGCGTGTGTGCAGGGGGAAAATGGGGGTGTGGCCAGAAAGGGGGTGAAGCCAGGTGTGAAAGGCCAGTGGGCTTCAGGGCAGGCAAGAAGGGATGGCAGGTGCTGGGGGAAAGTGGGCCAGCAGTGGTGAGAGCTGGAGTAGAGGTGTTGGTGGAGCCTGCGGGGAGGGAGTTGAGGCGAGAAACTGTTTAATAGCACAGAAGTGCAGGGATGAAGGCCTCAACCAGAACGATGAGAGTGAAGATGGAAAGAAGACCATGCGAGGTGGGCTGTAAAAGGAACTTCAATGGGACCAGCAAACAGGAGCTCCCGGTTACGGGGACACAGCAGAGGGAAGCATCAATTAGTCATCAAAGATACTGCAGAGACTCTGAAGCTGGGGGTAGGGGGACAGAGGCAGGGGCTTCAGGCTGTGCGGACACTGTAGGCAAGGACTGAAAGAACAAGGAGCAATGAGGTTTTCATGTTAGAAATAGCCATTTTTCACAGAAAAAAACTTTTTAAAAAGTGAACCAGCGGGCTGGCCCGTGGCTCACTCGGGAGAGTGCGGTGCTGACAACACCAAGGCCACGGGTTCGGATCCCATATAGGGATGGCCGGTTCGCTCACTTGGTAGAGCGTGGTGCTGACAACACCAAATCAAGGGTTAAGATCCCCTTACCGGCCATCTTTAAAAAAAAAAAAAAGAAAGAAAGTGAACTAGCAGTAGCTGTGGTTATAATCATCAAGACAACAGCAGCGACGGGTGCTGACTACCAGGCCCTGGGCTGAGCATTTTCTATGAACTATCTCACTGAAGTCTTGTAACTCTGCAACTGACCAGCAGGTGAGAAATAGTACTAATCATCTCCATGACGAAATCCAGGCTTAGAAAGCCTAAGTGAATTGCCCAAGGCCACTCCATCAGCCACGGCAGAGCTGGGATCCCAGCGGTGTGGCTCCACAGCTCAGGTTCTAGACCAGTATTGGCACTAGACATGGCTCTCTATACCACAGAGACACAGAATCAAAATCCAAACAATTTCCACAAACTGGAAAAACTTCATAAGATGAAACCCAGGAGGTATAAAAGAAATTTCCTATTTTAGTTCTAGTTCACGGGCACAGGGGAGATGTGACTCAAAGTGGCACCTGTGAAAGTGACTTAGGCATTTTATTTGGCTGCTAACTTAATATAAGCCACATTTTGATGTGGTCAATGAAAATGCAAGTCTGATCTCTCTGGATATATTAAAAGGAGTATAGTGTTCAGAATGAGGGAGGTTATGGTTCCAATTCTCTACTCAGATCAGGAAACATATGTAAAGCACTACTCAGTTTTAGTCTTTAAACAGTACAGTATGAAGGAAACTAACAAACTAGACCATTTTTAAAAGACAGTGACCTGGATTGGGATATACCTGGGACCTGAAGAAAACTTGGGAGAACATCCATATTCTGAAGAATAGTCATGTGGAAGGAGGAATAATTCCAGAAGATCAAACCTAGACCGACGCGTAGAAGTGAGGGAAACAGCTTCTGGATAAACTTAAAGCTGTCTCATGAAAGAGAATTCCTTACTATGAGATGCATGCAGGCCGAGGTGAGGTGACCTTTACTTCAGGTTATTATGAAGAAGATTGATAGGTGTTATAACAACAAAGTCAAGGGTTTAGATGCCTGGACTGGCCAGCCACACACACACATGCGCACACGCGCACACACACACACACACACACACACACACACACACACAGATGGGCTCAGGTTGGATTAGATGACTTCTAGGTCTCTTCCAATTTTTAGACTTTGTAAACGCCCATCAGATGGTAGAGGGCCCTGGATGTCAAGGCAGGAAATCGTGATCTGATGGATACTTGAGATTTACAGAAGGCTCTTGAGCAGGGGATGGACCTGATAAAAGCAACCCTCCATTCTCCTGAATGAGGAGTTACTTCTTCAGTGCTCTGACTAAGGAAGTGTGGAATTCCCTGGGAGTCACTGCCTTCCAGTACGAGTCCAATACAACTGACAAGGTCCTAGCCTAACACTGGGTTATGGAAAAAAGTTTCTTCCTAAACCAGCAGCTACAAGGCATCTGCAAGCCCTGCCTGCCCTTGCCAGGACTCCCCCAGACCCTTTTCTTGCAGCTTTGACAGACCCCCAATAGTTCTTTAACTGCAGTTAACGTGCCCAAAGTTCTCCAAGCAACACTTTGACACAGTAGACATACCTGAGGCAGATTCCATCCATACACAGTAGATGTACCCGAGAAGCAGAGTCCCACCCATGGTTGCAGTCTCACTGCTCGGTTTCTGTGGCAAGGCTTCGTGGAGCTCAGAGGCATAGAGGCAGGGCTGAGCCTCAGCATTCTGGGCTCTTTAAGGCAAACTGTGGGTCTCCAAGACACTGAGAGGTTTCAGGACAGAAGTTCCCCACTAGGACCAGTTTCCTATTGCGTCCATAATACTTTGTGCCTGGGATGCCTCCTCTCCGCCCATCCTGCGTCATACAGGCCTCGTCTTCTTTCCACATCCCAAACCCTGCCCCATCTTCAGAGCACAGACCAAATTTACTAGGCTACTCAGGCCAACAATTTATTTTCCTTTCTTTGTCTTGTGAATTCCTATTTCTCTTAATGTGTTTGGCACTTGGTATATTGTCTTCCCTCCCAACCTAGATTAAACCCCTGAGGGCAGAGACCCTGCCTTCTCCTTCCCTGTAGGCCTGCAGTCACCAAGGCAGGGCACAGAGTGGAGTCTAAATAAATCATCAGGACTGATAACTTCCTAGCAATGCCCCCCACTAAAGAGCACCGGGTACATGATTCTACTGAGAAAATCGACTCCCTTTCCCTCCCACCCAGACTCTGAAGGAAACCACTGTGCTCTAAACTGGTTCTGGCCCATCCACACGCCAATGCCAGAGGGCCCCTCCCAGGGCAGAGGGTGGGAAGTTGGGGGCTCAATGTCTCACCTCTGGAGGGGGATCTGGGTCAGACAACATCCTCTGAGAACAGGCTGTTCTCCACAATTCCCTGGAGTCACCTGGGACCTAAGACCACGCAGTGTCTCCCTTGAAAGAGTAGCATTGGACACCACTTCCTGACCCAGCTGGTCCTTGTGTCCCAAGCTGATTCCGGAGAGCCAATTACCAGCAAGCTCCACAGGAAGGGAGACTTTCTCCCAGCCTCTCCTCCTCCCGCCCCACCCTCCCCATCGTCTGCTCCCTTAGGACGGCCCAGCCAGGCAGCAGCCAATGGGAGGACTTCAGGCCTTGCTTCTGTGGACGCAGGGCCTGAACCCAGCCTGCAGGGGCCAGCTGAGCACTGTCCGGTCATGCACGTAGCTCTGGACAGGGCCTAGCACTCTGCTGGCTCACAGAGTATCCATGGCTGGGGCAGGCATTAGAGTATGGGCCCTGGGTAGGGGTGGGCGGACCTGAAGCAAGGGGCCGGAGAGGACCCCCATGGAGGCTAGGAGAAGGGGACAGGACAGTGGGAGAAAAGGAGGTCAGAGAAAAGGAATGAAACAAGCATGAGGGGAAGGAGGTGATTGCTCAGGAGATGGCACGGGGGACCACAGCGCCAGCTCACCTTGTCCGCTTGTGATACACAGACCAGGGGAGGGGTCCAGTGAACCCCTGAGATTTGGTCTGGGCTCTTATCCTTCCCCCACCCCAGCCCGCATTCCTGCAAGGGCTTCCAGCTTCCATGAACCAAACTCATCCCACTCAGGGCTAAGAGCATCTTCCCCAAGTGCCTGTTCCTGAGACACAAGGCAGAGAGGGGTCCCCTGCGCCATCAGCCCCATCTGCGGAGTAACAAGGCTGGCGATGGGGGAGGGTAGAGTGAGACACCTGGGGGAGAGATGGGACACAAAAGCATGCTGTGGCAGGTCACGGTGCAGGTGGAGGCAGCTCAGGTTAACAGCCAGGGCCTCGAGCCTGAGCTAGGATGACAGAGAGTCCAGAACGGAGAGATCACATGAGCCTCGGACAAGTGAGGGGGCATGTGAGGCACAGATGGCCAAACACAGCATCCTGCCGTGGGTGCCTTCATACTCCGAGAGACGGCTCTGCTCTTAGCTGGTGCACTTGGAATCTGGTGTCTGACATCAATTCTTTTTAATTCTTCTCTTGGTCAGAAATAATAATAACAGAGGAGTTGTCACTGTTGTCACCAAATTAGTGGCAGCAGCAGCAGCAGTCACAGAGCCTCACTTGAGCCCCTGCCTCCTACCAGGCACCGCATCTAACATTTGGTTCTGATGCTCCTGTGGGCCCTGGAGGGCAGGTTATCTGAGCCCCTGCTTTCCAAGTGGCACAGGCAGCAAGAAGTGGAGTCAGAATCCACACCCTGGGGCATCTGAGAACATCCCCTCTCCTCACACTGTGCCTCCTTCTGTAGCTTCCAGCAGCCCAACACAAACCCATCAGTGTCTGCCACCTGTCTGCCTCACCTTCCTCCCCATGACAGCTGGCTCCCTGGTTTCCTCCATGGCTCGTCCCCAGATCTCTACCTACGTTCGCTCCTTAGCAATCCCATCTAGGCCCATGGTTTTGACCTCAACTTCTGCCAGCACATCCACCTCCTCAACTATTCCTCTCCTGGCCTCCCGAATCCTACTGCATCAACCACCAGTTGTTCAGCCTGTAACACCTAGAAGCCATCCCTGATCATTGCCTTTGCCTCAGCGTTCCCATCCAATCCATCTGTAATGCTATCCACTCTACCTCCAAAACCCCTCTCCTTCTCACTGTCTCCACTTCAGGCCCAAACCACTGATATGTCCCCCCTGGGCCACTGAAATAGTCACCTACATGGGCTGTCCTTCCCCAAGCCACCCTCCAGAAGGATCCTTACCGGCCATGTATGTGGTCACAACCCCTGCGAGAGCCGTGCACTGCAGGTGAAATGAAGCCTGCACTCCCAGGGCGGTCTATGAGGCCTTGGGGGAGCCCCAGCTCTCACTCTCCCTCCTCTTCTTATGCCTCACCCACACTGGCTGCCTTTCTCTTCCTCAGACATGTTCAGTTCTCTCCTTCTGTCCCTGAATGGTCTTCCCCTCATACTGAGCAAGGCTGGATTTTTCTCCTTCAAGCTGTTCAAACACCACTTCCTGGGCAGCCTATCTTGGTCACCTAACCTAATGCATCTCCCCTCCCCTGCCCGACAGTATCTCTTTACCACGATCACGACCGCCCCGGTTACTTCCTGCAGAGCTTATATCACAATCTGAGGTTCTCTTGTCTGTTCACCTGTTGGCTGTCAGTTTCCCGCCACTCAAGCTGAGCTCCGTGAGGGCAGCGACCGCGGTCCCTGATGCTCCCCCTCGCACACACTGCACCTGCACTGTGCCTGGCATGCGGATGGCTGGGAGTGAAGGCCTGCTCTGCCCAGCGCTCCCCAGACATCCCCACCAGCTCCTGCCACCCTGTCTGCCTCACCATCTCGACATTACTTCTCTCGTCTAGGATGCTCCACCCTCTCCGTCCCCAAGTCACATTTCTTCCTCTCTTCAATTAAAAATCTTGCTTATATTTAAGCGTAAGCTACTCTAACAAATGATGTTCTTTCTTACACTCCTTTTGTACTTAGGCTCCATGTAGCTAAATACTTTGACTCATTTACATGTTTTTATGAAAGATATTGCCTAAAGGCTGAATTGTGTTTCCCCCCATCATATGTTGAAGTCATAACCCCCAATGTGATGGTATTTGGAGGTGAAGCCTTTGGGAGGCCCCCACCTGCACTGTGACCTGCCACAGCATGCTTTTGTGTCCCGTCTCTCCCTGCCAGGTGTCTCACCCCACCTTCCCCTATCACCAGCCTTGTTACTCCCCAGATGGGGCTGACGGTCTGTCTCAGGACCAGGCACTTGGGAAGATGCTCTCAGCCCCGAGTGGGATGAATTTGGTTCACAGATGTTGGAAGCCCTTGCAGGAATGCAGGCTGGGGAGGGGGAAGGATGAGGGCCAGACCAAATCTCAGGTTTAGGTGAGGTCATGAGGGTAAAGCCCTTGTGATGGGATTAGTAGCCTTATAAGAAGAGACACCAGAGGGCCAGCCCAGTGGCACACTGGAGAGTGCGCCGCTTGGGAGTGTAGCGGTGCTCCCGCCAAGGGTTCGGATCCCATGTGGAGACCGGTTCCCGCTCACTGGCTGAGCGCGGTGCGGGCGCAACACCGAAGGGTGCGATCCCGTTGCCGGTCCCCGGTATGGGTGTGACACTGAGGGTTGCGATCCCGTTACCGGTCAGTAAAAAAGACAAAAAGGAAAAAAAAAAAAAAGAAGAGACACCAGAGAGCTTACTTTTTCTCTCTCTACCAAGTGAGGACGCAGTGAAAGGCAGCTGTCTACAAGCTGGGAAGAGAGTCCTCACTGAGAAACCGTATCAGCTGGCACCTTGATCTTGAACTTCCCAGCTTCCAGGACTATGAGAAATGAATGTCTGTTGTTTAAGCCACCCAGTCTATAATATTTTGTTATGGCAGCCCAAGCTAATACAGTATTTTTTTTTTTTTACTTTTTAGTATTTTGTTTGCCTTATCTGCTTCATAAACTGGGAACTACTGAAATTAGGATCCCATCTCCCCCTTTTTCTTTCTCTCTAAAGTCTTCAGACATCCTCTGGCTTCTGGATATGTGGTGAGTAACTGAACTGTCTGGGTCAGGCAGATTTCAAAAGGTTTAGCAAAAAGAAAGGTGCTATTCTGCAGTCTGATAATCTGGAAGGGAAGATGGATTAAGTTGAAAAGATTCCAAAATGTAAATCATTCCTGCAGTTAACCAGGTGTACACACTTGTTCTGAGAGGAGGGTAACCAGGACCATGAAACACCTGGAAGAACTAAAGAAGCACAAGTGTTCAAAGTGGAAAACACAAGTGGAAGCAAACCAGTGTCCATCAGCAGATGAATGGACATGCACAGTGTGGTGTATCCCCACACAATGGAGTGTTACACAGCCTTAAAAAGGAAGGAAATCCCAACACATGCTGCAACGTGGATGAATTGTGAAGACGTTATGCTCAATGGAATAAGCCAGTCACAGAAGGACAAACGCTGTATGATTCCACTTACATGAGGCACCTAGAGAAGTCAGATTCATAGAGTCAGAAAGCAGAAGAGTGATGACCAGTGGCTGAGGGATGGTGAATTATTCTTCAGTGGGGACAGAGTTTCAGTCTGGGAAGATGGAAAAGTTCTGGAGATGGATGTTGGTGATGGTTGCACAACACTGTGAATGTGCTTAATGCCACTGGACTGTACACTTAAGATATAAATTTTATGATATGTGTATTTTACCACAATAAAACACACACACACACGAAGTACTAATACATGCTACAAAGATAAATGAACCTCACAAAAATGCTAAGTGAAAGAAACCAGACATTAAATGTGACATACCGTATGAGTCTACTTTCATGAAATATCCAGAATAGGTAAATCCATAGAGACAGAAAACAGATTGGAGGTGGCTGGGTTCTGGTAGGAGGGGGTGATGGGGAGTGACTGCTTAACAGGTACAGAGTTTCCTTTTGGGGTAATAAAAATGCTCTGATACTAAACAGTTGCATGACATTGTGAATGTACCAAATTCTACTGAAGCAATTTCAAAAGTACTTTATGAAGAAAAGAAACTGGTATGGGTGTACAAGTTGCTTATGCCTATGAGTCTATGAGTAGTGCAGAATAATGAATAGTGTCAGAAAGCTAAATCTTGAATGAAATGAAGCTTCCAGAAAATGTGTAGGATACCCAAAGAGCCTACCTTATTGCATAAAAAGCAAAAAGGACACAGAAGGGGTGGGAGTGCTGCTTTCAGTCAATGGTGATGATAAACTCCTATTTTGCTTCTATCTTTTCTGGATGGAATGATCTTTGAACTGAAAAAAGCAGGCAGAGCACTGAAAGAGAAAGCCCAAGGCCAAGGTGAGTTAGGAGACTGTGGGAACACCCCTGGTACCGAGTGAGCCTGAGGCTGTGACTTGGGCAGGTAACACACAGAACAAGC